AAAAAAAGAAGTAGGGACACTAAAGCTGGGTGGGGGCCTGAGGTGGGACTGAGATACCCTGGTGCAGGATGCCCCTCTCTGGAATGCACAGAGGCAGATGAGGGACCCCTCCCTCGGATTCACGGAACAAAAGGGTGACAAGACCTTCAGCATGGAGCCAGTGGACAAGTGGCACAGCCTGCTGACATCTGAGGCCCCCTACAAACACCCTCACACACCGTCTCCCTTAATCCTCATGGCTCCTTCTGAGCCAGGAATGACTGTTAGCCCCAGTTTACACATGAGGAGCTAGAGACTCTTGGTCTAAGGCAGGAAAGGAGGGACACGGAAGGGGAACAGGCTTCCTGACAAGTTCTTTGCTAGTTTGAGGCTGTGACGCCAGAAGGCATTGACTCCCTAGGTTCCCGAGAGGAAGGCTGGACACTGGAGTTCCCAAGGGAGAGTGGGCATTTCTCTGGAAAGGGTCTAAAACGGTAACCCACGCCAGGTTTCCCACCTGAAGGTGCGAGAGGAGGCTAGGGCGATCCACACTTCCCTCTGGGAGCAGGGGCTTTCCCGAGGGGAGGCTGGGGCACGAGGTTACCTGGGCAGGCCTGTTCAAAGCAGAACTGGTTGCGGAGTTGGGCTTGTGGGCAGTTGCCCCCAGGCAGGGGAGGCCGCAGCTGCTCCCGGCGTTGGAAGGCGAGGCCCAGGCCACAGCTTCGGCTACAGCTGCTCCAGCCAGACCAGGAGGCCAGCACACAGTCTACTGCAGGGCATGGGGCAGGGCTCAGAGGGGGCACACACAGGAGCAGGGTTGTCAGGACGGTCCCTACCCCAGCTGCTCCTACCACAGTTGTCCTCGTCCGAGCCGTCCTGGCAGTCTGGCCGCAAATCACAGCGCCGCTCAGCAGGCAGGCATTCCCCACTGCTGCAGTGCAGTTGGCTTGGGGAACAGAGGGCCCTCGAGGCCACCAGTCCTGGCAGGACGGTGGAAGGTACCGTGAAGGGTACAGTGCTTGCTGCCCAAAAAGGGAGAGAGAAGGGAACAAAGTGCATCAAACTGGAAGATACACTGAGCCCCTTAACCTGGGACCAGGACAAAATAGAACTTGATGACCAGGGGCCTTGCCTTCCTCCCAAGGCATCACCCAGTGCTCACCCAGAGTAGCCCACGCACAGGACCTAACCATATCCCTAACCCTAATGCTAACCCTAACACGAATCCTAACCCAAACCCTAATCATAACCCTAAAACTAACCCTAACCCTGACCCTACCTAACTCTAACCCTAACCCTATGGATGTGTGGGTGAGGTCATGGGGTCCTTGGTCTACACACTCTCATGCAGTCTCTCTACTTGTCAAAGCCTCTTGGAGTGCCCAGAGAGAGGTCAGAGCATATAGAAGGGCAGTTCCCTCTTTTGGGCACCCACTTCCTGAATGTTACTCCCTGGGGCGCCACTTCCTGTGATTGATTACCACTTAATTTTAACTTCCTGATTGGAAGACTAGGCTTTGATCATAGTGATCTACTTTTGATGGATGAATGAATGGATGGGTGGGTGGATGGATTGATTGGTAGATAGGATGGGTAGGTGGGTGAATGGATGAGACTCTTTAAAGGTAGATGAGTCTCTTCAAAGGTCAGACAGGTTTTATGAAACAGGCTGAGATCCGGGGCCTATCCTATTCCTCCTCTTCTCCATCCCCAGAGACACACAATTCCTGGCATTTTTATCCACTCACTCTCTCCAATCCCTTCTACCCCAAGCGTCTCTAAGCTCTTTTCCATATGAGCTAGAAATGGGGCAGGGACTCCCCCACACCAAAAACCCTCTTGCCACCTACTATCCCTTAAGGAGAGCAGACCCTCTAAGAGCTCACCACAGTGCTTCTCGTCAGAGCCATCAAGGCAGTCCTCTCTGCCGTCACACAGCTGCGCCTGCTCCACGCAGCCCAGCACCTCGCAGGGCATCTGGCTGGGGCCACAACGCACAGGTGGGAAGGGCCCCGGGGTGATGCTCTGACCTGTGGGCACCACCAAAGCCAGCAGAGAGGTCACCCAGCCTGCTTTGTCCTCCCCCGCATCACCTCCCAGCAGTCTTCAACTTCTGTCCTCTTGGCATCTCGTTGCCCACTCTCTGCCTCTTTTGGGATAATGGAAGAGGAGTGAACTGGGTCAGGAAGCTTGGGTCCTGGGCCCTGTCCTCTCAAAAGTGACCTTGAGCTGTGTGACCTTGAACAAAGCAGCCTCACGGGTGGTTGAGCTCATGCACACTCTGCAACAGGCCGAAGGGCTGGGAGTATTACCAGCAGGGGTCGCCAGAGTCACTGGGTGTGGGGGAAGCACTGTCACAGCTGCCATTCCTGGTGGAAGCGTCCTGGCCTCTGTCTGGGGTGTGGAGGAGGTGGTCCCCGTCTGCACGGATTCCCCAGAACTCAAGTGAGGAGCCCAGGAGGCTGGGGCAGGACTCACTGTAGGTGGAGGAGAGTGAGAGGTGAGGACTGCCCAGCTTCCCTTCCCAGGAGAGGAAGCAGCCAGAACCCCCGAGAGGGTATCCCAGGCTTCTGAGTGGTACAGAGTAATCACAGGTACCACACCACACCTTCTTGGGGCCTCAGACCAAAACGAAGGTGGGACTTGGACTCGGTAGTCCAAGGTACACAAGAAGGGTTTAACTGAAAGTAGAAGAAAACTAATTTTTTTTCAGTTGGGTTCTCACTCTGTTGCCCAGGCTGGGGTGCAACGGCACGATCAGGGTTCACTGCAGCCTTGACCTCCTGGGCTTGGGTGATTCTTCTGCCTCTGCCTCCCAGGTAACTGGGACTACAGGCACAGGCCCGACTAATTTTTTAATTTTTGTTTTGTAGAGACAAAGCCTTGCTATATTGTCTAGGCTGGTCTTGAACTTCTTATCTCAAGCAATCCTTCTGCCTCAGCCTCCCAAAGTGCCGGGATTACAGGTGTGAGCCACTGTGCCTGGTCAAGACTTAGTTTTGATCTGAAATTTGTACTTTATTCTTAAGAAGACATACAAGGCAACTTCCAAGTTCAAATTCATTGTAAAATAAGACATTTTCAAGAGAAAGAACTGAGGTCATTTAAACACAGCAACAAAAGGGAAAACACTACCAGACTTGGGATAAGCCCATTGCCTCTGCTATACAAGAACTGGTTTTGAGCTTCCTGGCAACTATAGTGAAAAGGATGTTAAGAGACTCATTTTCCAGCAAGAGATTCATCTTTTTTTGTAGACCCAGACTTAAGGTGAAATAGAATGCATCCCATGGATCCACATGCTATAGACCCAAAGGATAGTGCAAGTTGCTTTGTCTGCTTTTCACACAAGATGTAGAGACACAGTCCGGCGAGGCTTCCAAATAACTTCCATCAGAACTCACAAGGAAGAACTTAGAGGCTGTCTATAAGACTTCCTCGTCTCACAGATGGTGAAACTGAGGCCCAGGTAAGTGGTGTGCCATGCTCAACATCTCCCAGGGGAAGACAGAGTTAGGACAAAGCCACCACCCTCATGGCCCATGCCTTCTCCTCCTCCCTGGCTGCCCCTCTGTGGGGCCTGCTCTCCTCAGACTGAGGCACAGGTGAATGGCAAGGTAGCCCCAGGGAGGCTGGTTCATAACCAGACAGGGCCATCTTCCTTGTCCTGTTTAGAAACTTGGTAACCCTGGCCAATCCTCTGCCCACGTATAGATAGCCTGAGTGCTGAAGAAGCCAACACTTTCAGTGCAAGCAAACACTTCAGAAACGGGGGCCTGGTGGCATGGATGGTGAGCAGAGAGAGTGCAGGCTGGGGACAGAGGGCCTTTCACCCCCACTGGGGAGACCCCAGGTGTCTGGGGGAGGCAGCCACATTGGAAGGCACAGGCTCAACCCCTGGAGTCACACACCCTGCCCACCTACCGCCCTCATACCCTGGAATCCGACACGACCAGTGTCCCCTCCTTGAGCTGGAACTGAAGGAAATTCAAGAGTCAGGGAATCTGAACCTCTGAGACTGAAAGGCAATTGGCCCTTGCTCTGGAAAGGCAGGCAGGGACGAGGGTTTGGGGAGGGGACTTAGGGTTGCTGCACATACCTGTGGGGGGCATGGGCGGCTCCTGCCTGGAATGCCAGTGCTCAGTCTCTGCCTGACCCTGCAGAGGGAGAAGGCTCAGTGCTCTGAGGGCAGCTTCTGCCCAGGCCCCACTCCTACTGAGGATGTGGCTTGGGTACCCACGGTCCCACCACTGGCCCCGTCACTACTGTGCAGCCCAGGGTAGAGCTGAGGATGGAGGTGCCGCCCTGGGCTGGGCACCCCCAGGTGCTGGTCCACTGCCCTCAAGAAGCTCAGGGACCCTATGCTCACTGCCCCACCATGGCAATCCATTTCAGTTCTTGGCCGCCAAACTCCCTTCTCCTCTCTTCATGGGCACATGCGTACACACATTCCTGACCAGGCTGTTCTCAGTGGGAAGGTGTGCTCCTTCTTTTCCATGTTAGAGATATCCCTCCTCATCCTTCTACCCTTGTCTAGGAAACCCCTGAGGACCCCGAACACAGTGCTTTTCCCAGTTGTGAGTGGGTATAACCTCCTTACTAGGGGCACAGGCATCCCTGGTCTCTCTACCTTCTCTAGGCTAGCGTTCTGCCCCGGGCTTCTCAGCACCTCCATTTATCCCTTCACCCCCCACAGCCCCTCCAGCACCAAGCACCAGCACTGAGCTGGCCCCCAGAAGGCTCACTGGCCAGAGGCCTAGCTGAGAGCAGCACCAGGGGACACACAGGGAGGAAATGCCGCTGAACATGTGCCGAGTGCTGGGAGAGGCAGGCAGAGGAGCAGGGCTGGTGAGGTAGCAAGGCTTGGGCTCCTCAACTCCTCACCCCACCCCCTGGGTTCACAGCTTCCCACTCACCTCCCTGGGCTGGGGGAGCAGCTGCCTGGGCTGGGTGGAGAGGGCTGGGGTCCTGGCTGTGGAAAGCACTCTGGGAAGAAAAAATAGCCAAAGGGGCACCAGAGGCTCTCTTAGCACAAGAGCCTCCATCTAGGTGGGGGTGGGTCATGAGCTCTGGGCTGACCTGGGGGCTTGTGCTGGGTATTCAGGAAGGACACTGCCTGCTAAGGCAATGCTACAAAAGGCGACTCCCCACTTAATTTGTGGGTTAGAATCACCTGGGGAAGCTTGTAAAGCACACATCAACGGGCCCCACCCCTGAAGGTCTGAGGTAGAGCCTGAGAATCTGCATTTCTCTCTCCCTTCCTTCCTTCTTTCCTTCCTCCTCTCCTCTCCTCCCCTCCCCTCCTCCTTCTTTTTTTGAGACAGTCTCGCTATATTGCCCAGGCCTCTCTCAACCTCCTGGACTCAAGAGAACCTCCCACCTTGGCCTCCCAAAGCACTGGGATTATAGGCATGAGCCAGTGCACCTAGCCAGAATCTGTACTTCTAAAAAGCCCCAGGTGACACTGATGCTGCTGGTCCAGGGACCACACTTTGAAAAACCCTGAATTCCAGACTCTATGAGAAAAAGGATAATCCTAGAGTCCAGGAAAGGAAACGGCCTCTGAAGGTGCCAGCTGCAGTTCCCCAGCACACAGGGTAAGGCACCTAGAGGGTGAAGGCGGTGCAGGGCCCCTCCCATACGGCTGTCCCCTCTAAAGCTAGGCCACATCATACCTGCCAGTGCCTGAGGGCAGGGGCACACAGCCCTCTTCATCTGAGCCATCCTCGCAATCTGCAACCCCGTTGCATGGGTCCCCTCTCAGGGCACACTCACCGCTGGCACATTTGAGCCCGGCCCCCGGGCAAAGAGGCGCTGGTGGGGACACCGTGGGGGCATGTGGCTGAGGGCTCCTGCCACGACTCTCTCTCCCGTGCCTGCCCGCTCCGCCCAGCCTGTACCTGGCTCACAGCCCAGCAGTTCCACCCGCAGGAAGATGCCTCGGTTGACATCACTGTGGTGGACACTGTGGGGCCACACCCTGATGTGCCTCGCCTGCACCATCTGGCCGAATGTCCATACTGCAGGGGCCGGGTCTTCCCAGTTCCCAGGGAAAAGCTGCCGGCAGAGAGTGCACTGACCGAGCCCTGTATCTTGCTCAGCTGCCCCTGTGACCTTCTGAGCGCCCTCCCATGTCCCTCAGCCTTAGCGACATGTCCCCAGCAGTAGCCATCGGGCCTCTCAAGGCTGTGTGGGAGCTGGGTCCCGGCCCAAGCTCCTCCTGCTGGGCTGGAAGTGCCTCGAGGGTCAGGACAGGACCTGCTCACTGGTGTGTCCCAAGGGCCTGGCCTAGCACCTGGAACAGAGCAGGTGCTCCTGGAACAATTAAGAGGAAACACATGGTGTGGACTGATTCCTACTGATCCATCTCTTGGGGTAGATGCAAACTCCATGAGGGCAGGGCTGTGTTCAGGCTGCTCTTCACAGGGATCTCCATAGGTGTGGGTTCCTGAGGCCTTTAATGAACTTATTGTCTCCCCATCTGCTCTCCCCCGCAGGCTACTGCAGGACTTTGCATACCCACCTGAGTCTGAGCCACTTTGATGGTTTCTAATGCCCATTTGTCAGTGGTACCCAAGCCTCTGCTCCACACAGCATAGTCCTTGCTGCTTACCAGTGTTCAACAAGCATCTAAGGCAGGTATGTTCCTCGGGGAGACCGAAACATCCCTCGGGATAAAGACTACAAGACTCACAAAGGGGTCACTGACCCAAGGGACCTAGACAGCTGATACCTTGGGCAAAGGCAAGATGCCAGGCAGGATGTCATGATAGTCATGCCAGCGTCGACCATCACTGCTGAACTGGAGCAAGAAGCTGGTGGCATAAGTGCTAGAGGAACCAGGCCCCTGCACTATGATGCCTGGGGAGGGGCCAGGGCAAGAGCAGAGGTCAGAACTGAAGGGACCACTTCTGACAACCCTGCCCATCACAGTCACCACCTTCCACTCCCCTGCCCTTCCCCCCCATAGCCCTGCCACTGACCCGTGAGGTTCCGAGGCTGCAGCAGGTCCAGCTGCAAGTAGGGGGGCTGGGTGTGCCATCTAGCAGAAGTGTTCTCTCGGGGGTGCCATCCCTGAGGGTCAGGGCCCTCAGTGGGAGCCCCTGGGAGGGCAGCCCAGGTGGAGTGCTCCAGCCGCTGGGGTGATGCAGCTAGGCTGCCCTTGGGCGGTTGGGCCAGCCCCAGGGGAGAATAGCAGAGGTCTGGGTGCAGCAGAGAGAGAGAGAGAGAGAGAGAGAGGAGGACTGTGGTGGGGGAGGACAGAGGGTGGCAGAAGCCTTCCAGGGATGTGGAGGAAACCACAGGGGACCTGGGGGATCTGAAAGGCCCATACAAGTGATGTTGTCTAGGACAGAAGACTGGTCCAGGCAGGGCAGAGTTGGGCGGGGGGCACTTAAGATAGATGCCTCCCAGATCCTCGGGATGGCCATCCATCGTGTGCAAAACAACACACATGTCCCAGCGGTCTGGTTTCCCCTCCCAGGTTGGGTGACTCCTGGGCAGTGTGCTCCCCTCTTAGCACCGCAGTGCAGCAGCACGTGGCCCTTACCTCCCCGCGGAGGCAGAATGTAGGTGGCCAGAGGGGATCCGATCTGGGAACTGGGGACTGGAGCAGGGCCAAGAGTAGCCATGGGGTGGATGGTCTGGTTCTCCCCTGTGTGGGGAAACTCAAGAGTCAGGAGGGAAGACCAAAAGAAGCTCAGAACAGTCCCTGGTGCAGCACTCAGGCCTCTTCCCACCTCTTCCCAGGAACAATCACCAGTTGGGAAAGACCCCTCCTCCTTCCCTGGGTATGAACTAGGGGCTTTCGCTTTCACTGGATATTTAGAGAACATAGGCTAAAACCACCCGTCCAAAACCACTTGGGTCCCAGAACTGAGCAGCTGCAATTCCTAATCCTGGGATGCTGTCACCAATGGGGCACCTTTGTGGGCACTAGATACGGGCTGCCTGTGAGTGGAAGTGGTCCTGCAGGCTGAAGTCTAGCCCCCACTCACCAGCTAACTTGTGCAGCGCACAACCTGTACAACTGTGTATACTGGCTTTGTCCTAACCTCAGCAGCCTAAAAGTGGATAAGAAGCTGGACCCATAAAGGCCACTTTTAAAATCAGTCTTTGAGCCTTTGCATTTTCCTGTTTCCTTTATAACTCATTTCCAGATAAAGATTCTCTTGAAAATGTCCAACTTAACTTGGTCTTGGCTGCTCTGAAAATAGGAAAGCAACCAAATCTAGCAGAGCAGAACCTGAGAAAAGAGAGCCCTCAAGGGTGGTACCATGGGAAAGACAGAGAGCCCCCAAAATACTGGGTGGGCAGGCAGAGAAGGAGGGAGATAAACCCTCCCACACAGAGGGCATTTTCATCACCCCCCACCCCCTGGCATCCGGGACTCAGGCTTCCCACCACACCAAGGCTGGAGTATCCAGCCACCCCTGGCTCGGTTCTGCCACCCCTGGCTCCCTCTTAGAGACCCCACTAATCCTCCTCCCTGTGGGGCTCCTCTGCTCTCCCCAGGCACACTCACCAGGCAGGGCACAGTGGCAACATGATTCTCCCGCTCCCTCCACTAGGACCCAGCCCTGTGGAGGCACAGAGGTCAGGCCTCCTGTCCATCTCCCACCCACTCCATCAGCCTCCTCCACCCAGGCCTCCACACGGCACCCCCTTCAGGCTCTGCCACCCCTCGCTCCCTGAACTATCACCTGGGGGCAGTTGCCCAGTGGGCAGAAGGGGGAGCAGCGTGTGGTGTGGTTGTGCAGACACTGGCATACCCTGCAGGGGCCCCTGCGCCAGCGCTCCCCGACACGGTAGACCTGGCCCTGGTGCTCACACCCCTCACAAGTCTCTGTCTGGCACCTGGGAAGAAAAGGGGCATCCCTCGCCTGGTGAGAGGGCTCACCTCGGGTGACCAGCTGCCTGATTTGCCTGGATTAAGGGGGTTTCTGGGACTTGGAACTTTCCATGTAAAACTGGGAATGTCCTGGGCAAACTGGGACCTTGGGTCACCCTATAACCCCAGCCCACCCCTGCACCTGAGAAGCTGCCACAGGCTCCAAACAGGGGCAGGGAAGCAATTTGTACCAGCCCCATGGCCCGTGGGGATGGGCAGGCAGATATAGTGACATCCCCCTGTAAGCCTCACCCCAGGTACCTCCAGAGGCACAAGGGGGCATAACCTTGGACCCGTTCCTGCCCCTGGATTTGTCAAACTGCATCTGCGGTCCTTGTCTACCCTCCTTTTATACCAAAAGGACATAAAACCTAAGTAGGAGAAGGCCAGCGATCCCCTAAGATGTGCTGAGGATGCTGAGGTTTAGACTGGTAGGGGCACAGAGCAGGGGATCACAGAGCAGGGGATCACAGAGCAGTGGATTTGCTGTGGTGGGAAGGGGCACACAGGAAGCCTCCTAAGTGGGAGGTGCGGTGAGGGTCAAGGTTCCTGCAGGTCCCCGGGTGGGCGCAGAGTACCTGCGGGCCTTACGGTGGATGCCACGGCACTGGCGACCTCGGCCGGAGAGGCGGGGATTGTTGGGGCTCCGGAAGGACCACTGGATGCTCTGGCTTCCACAGGGGCCCAGGCACTCGGCCCAGGGTGACCAGGAGGACCAGCCACAGTCCACTGGGGGAGGGTGAGAGTCACCCTCCCTCTCACCCTCATTCTGAGGGCCGGGGGAGGGGTGGATGGCCAGCTGGGTGGGCTGGGGACAGAACTAGGGACCACCAGGGAAGGGCCTCACCAGCACAGTCCGGGTTGGGCCGGCAGCGCCGGGGCCGCCCATCTTGGCAGATGCAGAGGCGGCAGTCAGCCTTGATGTGCTGCCCAGGCCAGTAACGGGCGCCATCTACCAGGCATGGGCACTGCCGGGGCCACACACACCACCCTTCACTGCCCAGCACCTGCCCTTCTGGGCACCAGCAGCCTAAGGAAGACCCAGGGTGAGGTTTCCATGCAGAGAGCTCGGCTTCTACAGACCCAGAGCCCAGAGCCAGACCCTGGGCCCAGAGCCCCCTCACCTGGGCCACTGCAGTGCTGGTCAGGTAGGCATGCAGCTTGCCCAGAGATGTCATCACAGGTCAGCGGGCAAGGGGCACAGGGATGAAACACCAGCTCCCCAGAGCAGGTGACATTAGGGCAGCCGTCCTGAGGGCAGGGTTCTGAGAGAAAGTCGGAACCGGAGGTCAGAGGTCAGGGAGCGTGAAGTTGCCTCCCACCAGCCCCTCTCTGGTCCCCCAACCAAGCCCTCCTCCATTCTACTCACTGGTCTGGCGGGTGCTGTGCGGGCCCCCCGGTAGCGCAGCACAGGTACGGCCCCCATTCTGGGGTGGGTGGCACTGCCTCTGCCGTGTCATGGTACCCTTACATGGCTCGGAGCACAGAGACCAGGGAGACCAGGAGCTCCACTCACCATCCACTGTGAGGCGGAGGGACAGGGTAGGCAGTGGGGACCATAGGGTAGGCTGAGGGCCCAGTGGCCTTCTCCCTTCTTCTCTCTAGGCCCCACCATTCCTCCTGTGGCCCCAGGCTCCTCACCTGGGCAGGCCACGGTGAAGCAGGCCTGAGACTGGTGCTCAGGGCCTGGGCAGTCCTGCAGCACCAGGAGACCAGGAGGGGAGCAGTGGCGGCTCTGGCCCTGCACCCCAGACCCGCATGTCTGGCTGCAGGGTCCCCACGGAGTCCAGGGGCCCCAGGCCCCACAACCCTGCTCTTCTGGGGAGGGTCTTGCCTCCTCTGCTTCTTCACAGTCAGGCTGCCCGTCACACACCTGGGGAGGGAGTAGGGTCAGGGCTCCTTTTGTGTTGGGTGGCACTGTGGCTCTGCTTCCTCCACCCCCCATTCCCCACCCTCACCTGCCAGAAGCTAATACAGACACCATTAGGACAAGTGTATTCTGGGCAGGGAAGCCCTGTCTCATTTGGACCTCCTGGGGCTGGCAGCCTTTCTGGGGAGGAAGAGGTGAGAAAGCATGGTGAGCAGGGGATGAGACTCACCTTCCAGGCCCAGTCATCATCAGGGGACAAAGTGTCCTTACCACAGTCCAGCTCGTCCTCGCCCTGGGGACAGTTGGGGATCCCATCACAGACCAGCTCAGGGGTCAGGCACAGCTGAGGAGCCACAGCACAGGGAAAGAGGCCGTGGCAAGGAGGTAGCAGGGTGGAGCCTGTGGGTACCATTAACAGTGTCCTGCTTCACTCCTGTCCCCTCCTGGCCCTCCCTGTAGAGCTCCACCTGTAGAGGAGCTGACAGGTGGAGCCAAAGGTACCAGAAGAAGGGCAGGTGGGAGGCAGAGCCAAATGGGACCTGCACTTGGCTCAAATGAACCTTTGGGAGAGGTGGGGAGGGGCGGTACACAGACTGACGGGGACATGGGGGGGGCGGGGGGGAGAAACTGGCCTGGGGAGGAGTGGGGAGGCCTGTGAGCAGCACCCTGTGCAAGAGGAGGTGGACAGGACCTGAAGAGCTGACTTGCAGGGCACAAAGTGTCTAGCCAGGGCCTGGCGGGAGAGAGCCCTTCTCCCCTCCTGAAGAGTCCCTGCCCACCCTCATCTCTGCTTGTCCAAGTGCAGGCAGAGCCAAAAGTTCCTTTCCCCTCGCCCCAGCGCCTGGATGTGAGGGTAAAAAGTTTTCAAGGAAAGTGTCATGAAAAAGATCAAAAGAGCACAAAAGACGAGCAGACTCCGATGCCCCTAGGCCTAAGTCCCTTGAGCAACGTGCCCACATGGCCGCAGGCGGCGAAGCTCGGGGTTGGGTCGGGAGAGAGAGAGACGAGCCGGCTTGGCCAGCAGCAGGCCCGTGCAGGGCGCGCGGTCTCACCGCAGGCGTCAGGGTCCTCGTCCGAACCGTCGGGGCACTGCGGCACGCCGTCGCACAGCTGCCCGCGGGACACGCAGTGCGGGCCGTGGGCGCAGGGCGCGCGGGGAGGCGCGCAGGGCCGGTCGCAGCCGCGCTCGTCGCTGCCGTCGGCGCAGTCCTCCTCCTGGTCGCAGCGCCAGCCCCGCGGGGCGCACTCGCCGCTGTCGCACGGAAACTCGAAGGGGCCGCAGGGCGGCGCCGCGCGGG